CACCGTCCAGGTGAATGTGGCTCTGTCTCCTCAGTCTCTAGTACAAAGAAAAGAACAAGCCCTTTGAATGAAGGTGGCAGGACTGTGTGGTTTCCCAGGCCTGTAAACTGAGGCGGGTGGATCTCAAATTTGAGGCCAACCTGGGCAACTTAGCAAGACCATGTCTCCAAAAAAAAAAAAAAAAAAAAAAAAAAAAAAGTGCTGGGGATGTAGCTCAGTGTGAAGGCCCTGGGGTTCAATCCCCAGTGAAACAAACAAACAAACCCTCACAAACAACCAACAGCCTTGAACTTCCACTGAGCCCTGTGCTTAGCACTAGAGACAGCATTTGCTTGCGTGTGTGTGTGTGTGTGTGTGTGTGTGTGTGTGTAAAAGAGATATAGCCTCCAGGGGTTGATGGCCTTGGGATGTTGACAGGGAGGGAGGCAGGGAGGAAGGTGTGCTGGGATGGCCCTTTCCTGATGTGAGTGTTCTGTGGTAGCAGGGCAGTCTTGGAGGAACAGGGGATCTCATAAGTGACTGAGAGCTACTGTCCTTCCCACTTGCCATAAGGTGACAGTAACATGGGCTAGTAGTAATTTATGAGGCGTTCGGGTCACACAGCAGGGCTGCTGTACATTTATACCTAATCCAGAGCGTAGAAGTATGGAACCATTCCATTCACCTCTGCAATCGCTAGCTGTGTAACCTTGGGCAAAGTTATTTCACCTTGTCATTTGTAAGAGAAGTGTCTGCTGTTAGACCTTCTCACAGGACAGTTACGAGAATTTGGGTGGATTAAGCACATACAGTATACCATGTTCCTCCAGCTCTGCTTTTTTTCCTGCAAGTGAGGCTTGGATACCAAGGGAAAAGGGTCTGGTTCCCATGTCTGAGAAATTAAGAAATAAATATTAAGGATGGAACAAACAGGAATTTCTCCCCCATCCTATCCTCTTCATTAAATGACACAGGTCCACCTCTCTGAGCTCTTCTATTTGTCCTGTCAAACAGGACTGTAAGGCAGCAGGCAAGTCCAGATTCTTCATCCTTCTTCAAACCCATTTGATGGAGCCCTTCCCAGGACAGCTGCGCTCCTCCTGCCTCTACACCTGGCAGAGCCAGATGGACGTTCGAAACTAGAAAACACTACTTCCTCTAACATGGCCCTACCCGCTATACAAAGAAACAGGGTGGACTGCCTGGAGGACTAGTAATATCCCCGAGGCTGGGAGTTTAGGTCTCTGGGTTCTTTCTCCAGGGGAATTCCAGAGGTCAGTGCTTCTGCCCAGTGGGAGCAGAGCTTGGATGGCTGACACAGGGCCTAAGACCTTTGCCTGCAACTGGTGACTGACTTGGGACAAGCACAGTATAAAAGTGTCCTCTAGGTTAAAAGTGTCCAGATCTTCTTGGTTGGCAGACAGGACAGGGACTTCACTCTCCAACATTTGGAGTTGAAAAGAAGGGCCATGCACTGGAACGGTGGGGATGTTTGGACAGTTGGCCTCAAATGGATGAATTACCTCTGTGGGACTGGCTCTGACACAGAGCGTAGATGGCCAGGCCCGGAGGCTCGTGAAGGCTGAGGGAGGCGCAGGGAGTCTAGGTCAGTGTTAGAATTCTCACATTGTCTGAGGTGGCAGGCCTCACTGGATGTGTTAGCAAACAGAGAGCTTTGGGAGTTATAGCTGCCCACCGCCCCTTGGTGGTTTGTGGAGGGCTGCTATAAGAATTTGGAGCCCTGCTTGTCCGTTCCTGGACTCTGTCCCTGCTCCAAACTGCCAACCTTACCACCTTTCCCTCTTTCCATCTGCCAGCCATCCAGCCTCCATGGCACCAGCTTAGACTCCTGATGTCAGTCGCAGTGGCCATTTTTCTACCCAGTGGCATGCTCTCCTATCTCCACCGCTGCGAACTTTTCTTCAGAGCCCTCCTTCCTGGGCCTTCTTCTTTTTGGTCCCACCTCCCACCCCATCTTTCCTTTGAAGACCCTTCTTTCATGGTTCCTAAACACGGTCCTTTCTGATGGCTCCAACCTTCAGGCCAGGCTTTTGCTCTTTATCCCATCTTCCCATCTACACATGAAGCTTCAGTTCCAAGGGGAGGATCTTCGGCCAGGTCCTAGGCCCCCATCTCTCCTTTCTGCAAAGACAGGACATCCCCTGGTACCTCAAATCCAACACTTCCTTATTTATTTGTTTTTCAGAGGGGATCTTGTTTTGTAGTTCAGGCTGGCTTTGAACTCAGTATGTAGCCAAGGCTGGCCTCAGACTCAAAGCTATCCTGGCTCAGCCAACTGAGGGCTGGAATCACGGCATACACACCACACCCAGCTCAAATCCAGCATTTTCTTTTCTTTTCTTTTTCTTTCTTTTTTTTTTTTTTTTTTTGGTAGCAGGGATCGAACTCAGGACCTTGCACTTGGAATGCAGGTGGCAGCACCACTGAACTAAATCCTCGGCCTCTCAAATCCAACATTTTCAAAGTGAAGTGCACTGTTTCCTTACTCGGATGGCTTTTATTCTGTATGGCCTATTTTTGACATCTTATATTAGCCTTTTCTAGGCCTAGGGTTTGAATTTTCAGTTCCTATAAAGTCCTTGTTATTCCTCAATCTCAAATTTAAGGATTTCCTAGTCATCACCACTCATTTCACAAATATTTTCCAATCATATTCTCTGCAAAATTGGCTCTAGGTGCTGGAGTTCTGTGGTTAAAAGACAATACTTGGAGCTTGCCTTTGGGGGAGCTTATAGATAAATAGAGGAGACACAAATTAAAATAACTTGTGCTAAAATATCAAAACAGTTTTTTTTGTTTTTAGATAAGGTCATCTTGCCATGCTCAAGCTGGTCTTGAACTCATTAAATAGCCCAGGCTGGTCTTGAACTTGTGATGATCTTCTTGCCTCAGCCTCTCAAAGTGTTGGGATTACGGATGTGAACCACCCTGCTCAGCTATATAGTTTTTATTAAAGAATAGCATGGGGCTATAATAGTCTGTGATGCCTCACACTGTATGATAAGGGGTAGAGGCCAAGGACATCATGAATATGGAGAGTAGGTATAAGGTATCTATAGGTATAAATTTATTTCCGCTTTAGGAATCCTTAGGCCTGTAGGTAGACAGACTAACAGCCTCCCCTAAAGATGTCCATGTCCTAGAACCTGTGAATATGCTACAAGGATTAAAGTTGTACGTGGCGTTGAGATTGCTGACAGCTGAGCTTAAAATAGGGAGATTTTCCTGGATGAGTGTGGAAATCTCAGAGTATTCACTAAAGTCCTCGGCATTGGAAGAGACAGAAGAAAGCGAGAGGAAGGGATTGATGACAGAGACGGCAGGGCCAGGGAGATGTCGTGTTGCTGGTTTTGAAGATGGAAGAAGCTGACCAGTCCCAAGAAGGTGGGCAGATTTTAGAAGCTGAAAATACAAAAGAAATTAATTCTCTCCTGCTTGACAGACAGCAACCCAAGGGAACTCTTCTACTGGCAACACCTTGATTTAATCCAGTAAGACTCACCTCATGCTGATCTACAGAACTGTAAAATAATATGTTTTTGTTGTTTTATGCCACTAAATTTGTAGCAACAGTAGAAAATTTGTGGTAATTTGTAGGAACAAAAAACAAGTATAGGCCTTATCCTATTTCCATTGTTAAATCCATTTCATTTATTTATACCTAAACTTGAACCCTTACGCTCATTTCTGCAGGCTGGATTGTTGAGGACTCCATAATCGATAGTAAGATCATTTACAGAATCAGGCAATGGGAGGAGGACCGTGAGGGAGAGCAAGGGATAAGCAGAAGCCTAGCTCTGGAACCAACGGGCTGATACCGAACCTCCAGGAGCATTTAGTCTCTGTGCAAATCTGAGAAGGGAACTGGGCCACAGAGGGCAATAAATGTGACCTAAAGGACTGTTGCAACAATGTGTGTATGGCGTTTAGCACCTGCCCAGTTTAGAGCAGCATAATGCGACTGTGACAGCTATCATACATTTATCAGATGAAATTGTAATCCACGTTTGTGTGCCACGAGGAAAGCAGATCCAAGGAACCGCAGAAGGGTCACAGGAGGGTGCTCAAGGGCAACGCCAAGCCCCGGGGCCAGGTGTCTCGCCTTCCCCTTCCTGTGGGTGCAGCGGTTCAGGGACAAGCCCCAGGGGATGAGGAGGTGGCTGGGACAGCTGGTACTCTGGCAGCCCCTCCGCCCCAGGTCCCCGAGATGAGTCAGCCCTCCCTTGTCCCCTCTTTCCCCCCAAATTCCCTGCTTCTTCGGGCTGCTCTGGGGTGGCCTGGCAGGATCAGGCCTGTGCCAACGAGGTGCGGGGTACACGTGGTGCGGAGCCCCCCGTTTGTTCTCCACCCGGAGCAGGGGGCTGTGCGGGGAGCTGGCCAGCGGCTCGGCCCGGGTTCTCACTTCCCCTCCCCAACGGCCTCGGTGCAGGTGCCCCGGGGAAGCCGGACAGGCGG